TCTTGCCTAAACCAGTGCTATTCAAAATGGTGGTCTATGGACCAATGCTAGTCCCCAAATCATTGGCTTGCAGATTGTAGCTCAACGGGGGAAAAGATTGCCATTGCCCCATATCAGCTTGAGATGCACCGTCCTAAACCAGGATCAAATCAGAGAAGTATTTAACATTATCTGATCTCACTCCTCTACTATAAAATCTTTACAAAGAACCCTCCCATTTTTAAAAGAAGAAAATCCCAGCCATATACACAGCGTGGATGTCCTTGTAATTATTAAGCAAATTAATACTACACAGAAGAAATAGACTGAAATCTTTTACAAATTTGGGAAGGTTAAGATCTAGTTTCTGTAGATTAAGGCACGAGTGTTACTGTGCTGACTAAGATTCATACATGGCTGTGCTGACTAAGATTCATACATTTAAGGTAACCTCTGGGAACCACCCAGGTTTCTTGAATAATAATATGTGTCATTGTCAGAAAAGTAGTTTCACAAGCCTGTATCACTAGAAGAATCTCTGATAAACAGCCAGGAAATTTTAGAAGAATTTTAAAAAACACTTAGCTTTGTGATATCACTACAGTTAACCAGCAAAACAAGAGCAGTGACCTGAAATGAGATTCCTTATCAGTAGCGGTTCATCTTCTTTGCAATATTCCAACATTCCCTGGAAGTCTTTCTCCTTCCTTTGGACAGTGACCTGCCTATTGAGTTCATGCCGCCGCTTTTCAGTTTGTATGATGGCTTGATCAGCTGTGAAAAGTAAACAGAGTGATGGGTTTTAATTTTTCATATCATAAACTAGCACTGTTATCAATAATGCACATATAGTTACAATGTGAATTCAATTAAATTTAACTACAAAAAAACCTTCCAACAAATCCAGGTTATGTTACTTGACAGTACAAAACTATGTATGTTTAGATGGAGGTCCATGGGTGAAGTTCATTTCTGAAGCAAATGTAATAAACAGGTGCCATATGACTGGAGATCAGGGTTTGATTCACCGCTTGGCTCAATTGGGGTGACCTTGGGCAAGTTACACACATAGGACCAGCTTCAGATTCTGTCTAACCATCTGCAAAATGAAAGGTTCTTCAGATTCTTCCAAGGATTTGCAGTTTCAGTTCTGGTTACACTGAGGAGTACTGTGAGTAGATCAACATGTATTACATTTTCATTTGTACTTTCAAAAATTCACAACATCAGTTAGGTTGTATCAGATTGATTCCAAATAACTGAAATTGCTGAATACAATACCATCAAACCACTCAACCGACAGACAGACTAAAGCAGCATCCCACTTTTCAAAGCCCATAAAAGATGAGGCTGGCTTTAGTAGTGCCCTTGGTGCAAACGATTTCTGCCAATGGGATTCTGCAAACATTACATGGGAAATTTTCTAACTTTGATTAAGAGACCAGGAATGGGCCATGGAATTGTATCCTGCCCTCTCAATCCTTCTCAACATGGGTTCACCCACCCATGGCAACTGGGGTTCAACATTACACTGAAAAGAAAAAGGTAACTGCATGGGTCTTTAGATATCTGTGGTCAATTTCTGAAAAAAAGCAGACAGAGTGTTAAAACTGTGGCTGTAATTTCCGCAGGCTGCATATGAACAACAGAAAACTAGGACAGGTAATGCTAGCTAAATTGGGGAGGTTGTTGCCGTGTGCGTTCAGTTGCTTCCAAATTATGGTGACCGTAAGGCAACCTTATCATGGGGTTTCTTGGCAAGATTTGTTTAGAGGGGGATTGCTTTGGCCTTCTTCTGAGGCTGAGAGAGTATGACTTGCCCGAGATCACCTGATAGGTTTCCCTGTCTGAGCAGGGATTTGAACCCTACTCTCCAGAGTTGTAGTCCAATGCTTAAACCACTACAGCCCACTGGCTCTCTTATTTTGGGAAGTATGGAGAATTCAACCAGGAACCGGAAGCTGACTTGTAGTGAGTTAAATCTTTGGCCATGTAGCCTCTGTTGTCAACCCTGACTGGCAGCCGTGGCTTTTTCAGGTTTCGGACAGAATTCTTTCTTAGCCCGACCTAGAGATCCCAGTTTTTAATTGTTTTTGGGGTGCTGCCCATTAATCTAACCATATGAACCTTCACTGTGATACAACCTAGATCAACCTAGATCATTAAAGGTGTTAACTCCAATTCTATAAACAGCCACAAGTTGTCACAGAGGTTCCTTCTCCTTTCTTTTTCTCCCATACTTGTATGAAAGCACCTTTTCCAGATACTTTCCTCAGCACATTTACTAAATTAAGTAAGAATCACTTGTATATAAACACCTGCTGACAAAAATGGAAGTTAGAAACTCTCACTGTTGGAAAAGGACACATATTCCCAGCTTTCTCCCATTGGTCCTTCAGTGGGCAATGCAACTTGCTGCCCGTTCTACATTTGAATGTGCTTTGAATATTCCTTGAACATACAGCTTAGGTACCCCAAGGACCATCAAATCCAACCCTTGTCCTGCAGGAATACACAAAGTACCAGTGAAAGATGGACAGTTAAAGATCTGCAAAGAAGGAGAGCCTCTCACCCTACAATACAGTCTATTCCATTGTCAAACAGCTCTTGCAATCAAAAAGTTCTTTCTAGTATTTAAATGGAGTCTTTGTTTTTCTTTGTAATTGGTTTGTGTCCTAGTCTCTGGAGCAGCAGCAAACAAACTTGCTCTATCTTTTAAATGGCATCCCTTCAAATATTTAAAAATGACTGCCATATTGCCTCAACATCTTCTTTACTGATACTATCACTAAAAGTTGCAGATACTTATTTGAACACCTGGGCTACTATAGTAATGTATACGCCTGGCTGCCCTCCTTAAACACTGGCCAGCAAGACTATCTACCGTATTTTCCT